TATTTGGCCAGCAGGTATTTTAAAAACAACTTATTTTACTATCATTGAGATCTCTTTTCATATTTTTTGCTAATATTTTATCCTAGGTCTGCTGAACAGCGCAGCAACAGCAACCTCTCTGTGTTCTGTATTTCACACTACCTTCATTGCTTTTGCAGTTTTTTCTATGCTGAATTGTTTTTATAACTACACCTGAGTTGAAAATGCTTTATTACACAAGTCAGATACCAGTCTCTAGGTCACTAATTTGTGACAATGCCCTTAATCTTTGCACAGAACAACTTCTTACATGCTGGCCTCTTCTCATAGCTTTCTGTACAAATTCCTTAGTATGGTGCTGCTAGCCAGTGAAATACGCCAGAGCCCTGCACCCCGGGCAAGCCACGCAGAAGGGGCCCTGCACCTGGCGCCTGGGCGGACCAGGCAGAGCCAGCACTACGCGCCGTCTCCACTCCCGTCACAGCTACTGCCAGCCCTGCCTGTCCTTAGGAAAGCTGTCTGTGGCTAATTCATCATAGAAATCTGATCAAAATAGAATGAAAAAATGCATGCACATATCATCCCAATCCCATTAATGGCACAAAACATGTCTCTCCTTGTAACTTCAGTGTCTTGCACAATGGTGCGCACTCCATGCACACTGAAACCTCACCTAACAACAGTACTGTCCACTGGTGCTGGGCACGGTGTGTGACTGGGTTCTCAGAAAATAAGCCAGAAAAATGGAGTGAGAATGGAAATATCTGAGAGCAAATTTAACATGAGAACATTTAGGTTGAACCAGATGAAACTAAAGCATTGCGGAATGAGATATGCCTTGGTCTATCTCATGTCTTTACGTCTTTGCAATGTAAGAATGCTTGATTTAAAATTAGCGTTTGTGGGCCAGGGAGATGCTCAGTAGAATAAGCCCTTCCCTGGCAAGTGCAGGGGCCTGAGTTCAATCCCCAGTTCCACCCAAAATAAATAAATAAATTAATTAATTAATTAGCGTTTGTGTCTGACTTATTTCACTCAACATTAAGTTCTCCCATTGCATTCATTTGCCTGTGAATGTCTTAAATATTTCAATGTTTGTCTTATATGAAAAACTCAAAATGAAGAGAGGAAAATAGAACATAGACAAATAGAAGGTAAAGTTCAAATGATTCTAATTCCCTATCCCACCATTTCAAAAATATTTCAATAAATATGTTAACTTCTTTCATTTATACTACTAGTTTCTCTTATTTCAGTGAAAAGAAAGTTTTGCTCAACTATCTGTCTCTTTTTGTGAGAGTGTTCTGGCTATAGCATACACTCTGAGTGACACTTTGGCCATTCTCTTAAGATTTTGATACACAGTATATTAATTATTGTTATTCTCTTAAAAAAAAGTGTTTTTGACCCTTATTAGTGTAAGCTTAGTATCTAAAATGACAGGGCCATCTGAAGTGACTTCAGGATCGCCACACAAGTTGTAAATCAAGAACTGAAAAGCTGTGGCTGAAAATGCACACCTAAATATTCTATTCAGATTTTCCCACTTAGGCAACTGCCATCTCCTCAATAAAAACTTAAATTAGAATATAATGATGCAATTATGCCAGTTTTTATCAGACACATTGAAAACAATGGCACAGATAATACAAAGGCAGAATTCCACCTGTGTGACCCTCCATACCTCTGCAATACCCGTTACCATTCTACTCACATATCAAGAAAAAATGTACACACACACACACACACACACACACACACACACACACGGTGTTTTTCATATTTGCACGTTTCTAGCCTTCTTTACCTTAGGAACACCTTATTCTGCCCAGAAGTAGTAAGAAAGCAATCTTTAGCATCCAGTGTTAGCCCTGCACTACTCCTGTGGTGCCCACTACAGTTGCCACGGCCACCAGCGGTCTCCAGCACCTGATGCTCATGTCCCAGGACAACTCTGGGATGACTGGAGCCTTGGGAAACAGTCAAAGCCAGAGGACCAGGGACTGAGAGAATAAATACTGCTGTGCCAAGCCTGTGTTTCGGTGATGGAGCAACAGATAATAAATATATTGCTCAAAGCAACTAGTTCTTAGAGTTTGCCGCAGCAGCAACTTCTTAGTGATACTTGTCTTCATTTTCATGAAGATCTCCCTGCTTTTATCAAAACCCAGAGAGTTCTATAGCAAACTTTATGTCTAATATTGTCTTTCCTTTAAATATATCTAAGTAAAATGATCTTACTGCTGGTGTTTAATGAGTCTAACAAGGGAGTTAAACAAAATCCCTGATAACAATTTTGTTTTTTAAACTTAAAAAATGTTGAAGACATGGTATTCTATGACCTTCATATTTCTCCCAAGTAACTAAATTATAAAATCCAAAGCAATATGGAAAGTGAAAGCCTTTTAGTCTTGTAAACATTTCCACATCTAAAAGCCTGACGGCTCCGAAGAGCACAGCACAGATTCCTGCAAACAACCTTGGCACGCACATCTGCCATCCTGGGAAATGCTGTGCTTAATAAATAACTGCCGGTTAGGCTCAAACTGCTTCAGCAAACAAAGACTAACTTCCCTTAAAATTCTCTTTAAATAATTTTTAAAAATATTTTTTCCTCTTCTTTTTGATAGTATACCCCTGCTTGTTATATACATGATCACGCATACTTCATGGATGATTTCTCCACTGAGAAGGCGTACAGCATTGGGCAGTGCTGGAGATGCAGAGATGGGCGGTGTCTTACAAACCCAATCTGCAAGGCCCCGATATGCTGCAGCAATTCCACTCGCTCGTACACTTCCTAATGTTTCCTGAGGTTGGCACTTACATGCACATTCATAGTTGAGAACCTTCCCCGGAGGTGTTCATAGCACACCCAAGGCATTCAAAGCTCAGACAACAGAGAAAATTGATAACATATACCTCATCACATAGACTGGTCTGTTATACTCTCTGATGTCAGACCAATCTATATATCTTTAAGTTAATATTGCTACAAAAATCTTCATTTCATAGTTCTATGTACTATTTTGGAGGTTTATACAATGACTCTCAGAAATATCTGACAAACAGTCACTAAACAAAAATGCTTTGTATTCCCTCTTGGTATGCCTTCCATATCTGCAAATGTTGGAAGAAGAAAGACCAGAACTGAATAGAGAGGGTGAGGGAAGCCCCCTGGCCCTCAAGGCTCATTTTCTGTAGTTCTGTCAACTGGTACAGCCTATGACTGTGCTCGGGAAGCCGAGCACCGCTTTCAAAGGCCTTGCTTCTTACTGGATCACACCCAGAAGAATGAGAGCTCAGTGGAAAGAAGAGGAAGAAACGCACACCCTAAATGTCACACTTACTGCCGTGACATTATGCTTAATATTTTTTTCAGCTTTGTAACTCCTCTCTTATTATCTTCCACTATTTTTAATATGTTTGGAAACAAGTTCCTTCTCTCAACTATATAAAATATATGAGCTTTAATGAATAATTTCTCAGTGATGTGAAGACAACAGTACAGGTGAGGTCTGGGATAACATACTGAAGAAAAGCCAGGCTGAGAGTTACAATCATGCTCCACCATTCCTAGCTAATAAATGTTATTTTATATCTGCACAATGTGAAATCTTTAGCTTGCAACTATGATTCCTTTGCTTAAATAAAAAGAACAGATTTATTTTCTCTATCATATTACGGGTAGCATAATCAAAAATGATAGTTTACTGAAGAGCAAATATTCCTAACCAATGCTAGAGACTTGAGATCTTGCTATTTCCTTGGCAGTTGTCTGTCCTTGGCCAGATCCATACAGGTTCTGGGCCCCTGGTTTTCCTGATGTCAACTGTCCACTGTGTTGACGTTTTACAATTCCGTTTTCCTAAGGAAGCTAAAATTTGGCTGCTTCTTGATGACTAAGCCACTGTCAGGCTTGCATGATTTGGAGGCAAAACAATCACAAAATCAAAACCGCTGAAAGCCCTTAGATTTAATTAAAATTCACCTGTTTAAAAAAATGTGTTGGGGTCCTGGCCCTAGCTCAGTTCTTTAAGTGGCTGCTTCCACAAAGCTGTCAGCCTCAGGTTGCTGTAGTTCGATCCCCACAACACTCCAGACAGCCAAAAGTGCCCTGAAGGCATTCGAGGAGTAAAAAAAAAAGTGTTATATGGGCTAAAAATTCTTCAATAATTTCATAAAGAATCAAGGTTATTCATAATCCACATATAATTTTAAATACCCATTGTTCGTTAGACTTTCAGTTCCAAATCACCTTTATTCCAGACCTCTAAAAATGCAACTGAGCAGCTTCCCCAGTTCCTGTGTGGCACACCTCGAAGAGACTACCAGGTCACTGTGTGACGAAAGCTTCTAGACATCAAGGGAATGGCCAGCTTCTCTAGCAGAGCCTCCAAATTCTTTGGTTTCCAAGAGAATATCTCTCCACAGAGAATCTATAATGCTAGTTCATTTTCTCTTCAAGTTTATTAACCTGCTGCTATTAAATAGACTGACAATGAAGCTTAACCCCACAATCCCTCATAGTGTGACATTTGGGCATTGATTTCAAGTACTTAAAAACAGATTAGAAGAGAAAAAAACTCAAATGCTAGTATTTAGAGCCCCACAAAAGTGGGCAATTTTGGGTGTCATGGGCTATGAGTTGTAGGCTTGCAGGCTGCCTGTTAAATAAATATAGGAGTTAAATTACATTTTAAATTTTAATTTAAAATTTGAAAAAGCAAATTTCTGTTTAGCTAAAGTTCAATTTTCACTGGGAATCCTGATTTTTATTTACTAAAACTGGTGATTTTATGTAGGCCAACAGTATGAGGTATCTATTCATTGACATCTTTTTCCTCAGACATTTGTGTTTTTCCTTCTCTGTTAGAGTCAAGCAGTTCTACTTATTATAGTACATGAACAGATGGAAAATTTTCATTATTAATATCCCCTGCTTTCAATAAAATCAGTTTCCTACTGTTAAAAGTATAATATAGAGATAATTCATTCTTATGGTACCAACATTTACCTACCTGTGAGTAATTTATTAGAAGACCGTATAATAAAATGTTTCTCTTCTTTGCTTCTACTGCAAATTCTCTAACCCACATTAGGCTTTCCATTTTCTGACTGAGAGGTCCTAATTCAAAATCAAGAAAATGCACCTGCAAAATAAAAAAAAAAGACAATAGGTTATCATTACCTTCAAGTTTCATCTGAAAAAAGGCACAAAGTGCAGTTATAATCAATTATTTATTAATTTATGTTAATTTCTATTTGTTTCAGGCTATATATATTTAAAAGGTCGATAAATCACGTATAAGATATAATAAATACTGAAACTACAATATTAAAAACATGCTCACTCGTTCTATTTTAGCATACATCATTAAAATGAATATATTTTTATTAATTCAACTTCAGAATTTATAATGATACTAGACATTTTAACATATATAGTAAGAAATACAAATAGAATTTAAGAGTAGAAATTAAGTAACATAGTTTTAGAACAATGAATACTTGGCATGTCTATTAATTATCTATTTGCTAAAGTAAACCCAGAAAGCTTGATATAAATGTTTTTAAAGCAGTATTAAATAGTGCTTTTTTAGAAATGAAGTGAGCATTTTAAAACATTCCATTAATTTAACTTTTAAGGGCCTCATGGTGATATTCCTTCAAATCTCCCAATTACTGAGGTCCCAAAAGAAACTGTCTCTTATGAAACATAAGAGGCCTCAAGCACAACAGGTTTAAAAGCAGCAATCTAAAGGTCTGCACACATAGAATGAACACTAGGCAAAAGCACACACTCTCATGAAAAATTTTAAAAATCTCTTAGCAATTACATATTGCCTCAGTTATGGTTTGTGTCTAGGTGTCCCCCCAAAGTCTCATTCAGCCACAGGCTAGCTTCTGCAGTTTGTGATTATTGTGGGTATGCATGCTGCACACTTGGGCCAGGTTAATGCTGACTAACTATATATGCTGATACCTGTGAACTAAGCAACTGCACTGAATAACAATGTGCAATACTAGGGTCATGTTTGGAATGCCTGTCATTCTGGTCTTCTAAATATGTATTGCTTGTCATGTCATATCAATTACTGCTATACTGTCTCTCAAGTAAATGTTCATTTTAAAAAGAAAAGGGTAATAAATGAAAACAAGAGACAAGAAAAATATGTCATAGGACTGTCCTGCTACAATGCTATATATGGTTAGATTTCTAAATTTCTTTGTAAAAATATGTAATTATTTATTCCAATTTATGAAAATATTTTTATTTTTTCTTCACATTATGTAGGGATTTAAAGTTTAACATATCAATACTTGATGGAAAATACCTGTTCCATGCTATGTCTAAGATGTTTGATATTCAGACAGATAGTGAGGCTAAGCTCAATTGCCTATGTTATAGGGTAATAATATCATTAAGCTTCTCTTCTGGAGGGTTAATAACTTAAGTTTGCAGA